GGGAAAGAGAGAATTAATAGTGATTTACAATTCTAGCTATTCTAATTATGTGTTTACTAGTGAAAGTAACATTGAGAGTTTAATGTGACCCGCATAATATAAAGAATGAGAACAGAGAGTATCAATTCTTACATCCTCTTATATTAATTCTCTATTAAAAGGAATAAATGTCAAATTTACTTAGATACCTTTAAAATTCACGCTATAATTCAATGATTATCTTATTATGTAAAAAGGATATTTTAGAAATTATATTGATAAGATTGTAATTTTTAATTTTCTAAACACTGGAAAATAAATTGGATTGTTTGTTATTGATAAACACGTCCTATGTGTAATCACTGATTGAGTATATATTGACGTAGAAAGTCTATATTAGTTGAGAATGCATAGGAAGTCAATCGTGTTCATTAGAAAGTCTTAAGGAATTAATATATTATTTATTTTTCTTGAAAATTACGAAAAGAATTTCACAAGAGTATTAGAATCCCACATTGAGCGGAGATATTGGCATGATCCACTTAATAAGGCGAGGGCAATCCTCCCCTAACAAGTCGGTTTTGTTAGGTTGAGTTAGGCCTAATATATCATTTGATTTCTGTAAAATGGTATCAGAGCATGCATAGTTTTACAATGTTAGGTCCCCTAATATCGACTTATTCACAGCGATTTGACATAGTCCACGCTGTGCATGAGGGGCGTATTAGAATCCTACATTGGCTGGGGATATTGACATGATCCACTTAATAAGGTGAGAGTAATCCTCCCTTAATAAGCCGGTTTTGTTAGGTTGAATTATGCCTAATATTTTTTTATTTCTGTAAAATTGAGAAAATACTATGAACTGAGGTAATTGCTGATTAATGTACTTACTTGCTTTGATCCTAGTTTCTGTTACTTTATTTTTTTTTTTTTGTATTAAACGATGGCCAACTGAGGTATACATATTTTGACATTGCTATAAAACTTTTAGCCACCCTTTAGAAAGTGTTCGGCATAATGTTGTGAATTAGCTTTCTTGGTGCACCAATAACAAATAATGAACTGATCCAAATATAAGGGGAAAAATTTGAAAACAAAAGGGTATACTTATGAATGTCATTTTCTTGTGGACCAACAAGCTGCATATATGAAAATGCAGTTTTAGATCCAGTTCATTTCACCGATTTGAATTTAAAATTCGAGTTTTGCTACAGTAAAAAGCTCTCATAAACAATCACATCTAACTTTTGTGCTACAGTAAAAAGCTCCCACATAAAGTCACATCTCAACTCGAATTAAAAACTCGAATCAGCGAACTAAACGAGCCCTTAATTCGTCTTGTAGGTGTAAAAGGATTAAAAAGAGTTTGCAATAAAAAAAAGCAAAAAAATAAAAATAAAAATAAATAAAAAGGAAAGGGAGGAAATTAGTAAAATCCCGATCATTTCATTAACCCATTGTTAGTGACAATGTTATTACGGACAATGCAAACATGTTTTATCATCTTAAAAATTAAGAAAAAGGCATACGTTGGCTCCACGTATTATTGTTAGTCTTTGTTGAGGTTGAAGGAAGACTATTTTCCCCATTTTATTATTATGATTACATTATTTTAAGGTTCTTCTTTTTTTTTTTAATTACATTTTTTAAGTTAGAAACAAAGAGAGATGGCCGTTAAAAATTGACACCCCCCAAATGTATTCGCTGCGGTCCGTTTAGTTCACTGATTCGAGTTTTTAATTTGAGTTGAGATGTGACTTTATATATGAGCTTTTTACTGTAGTAAAAAAGTTAGATGTGACTATTTCTGAGAGTTTTTTACTGTATTAAAACTCGAATTGGTGAAATGAACGGGGCCGCAATTCATTACGCCACAAACATTAATAGAAATCTAGAATGCACCAGAGATAAGGCCAACTTTATTTACCGAATGATCAAGTAAATTTTGTAAAGTGCTTGATATTATGTGGTCAGAAAATTATCATAATATAAGTACAAAAACAAAACTAAAACGCATAATATTGTTCTTTTTTTTTTAATGAATTAATACTCATATGTATAACGATGGTCATGAATGATATCATCATATAGTCATAATATGCATGTCATATATATAACATATAGGTGAAAATGGGAATTCCATGCATTATTTGTGTACGTCATTGTCAATACAGCTACTGCTCACATGATCAAAGTCTCACCTACCAAACCCAGTTTCCCTACCTCTTTTTATTTTAGGGGCAGGACCATTTTGCACGATCGATAACATCTAAATGCATGGGACAGTTTGCCAACAAAGCATATAAATGGAAAAATCTAACAATTAAGGACAAATAAATACATAGAACATTGAAATTCCCTGATTTTTCTGAGTAGTTCTCATGAGACTGCAACTGCAGGGGTTTTTCCAATGGAATTAATTATAATGGGGTTCCATTTGAGGTAAAATTTTTGAAACCTTAATTACTTAGCCGCCGCCGCAGCAGAAGGAGAAGAAGAAGAAGAACAGGCCGAGGAAGGCCAGAACTCCGCTCTTCTCACCTTCGAAATGCTTTCCAGAACTCCCGCCGGCGAGACGTGTCCCATCACTGTTACCCTCTTTGTTTCCAGCTCTATGCTGAATGAAGTCACTCCTAACATCGATCATGCACGAAATTAAGCCGGAACTATGCATTAGTTGCGTAAAAATATGCTAAAGAAAACGCTAAATAGTCCGTTGCTAACGAGAAAAGTTGAAAATGAATAGGATTAAAACCCAATAATAAGGACAAATAGAAGCACTTATGGTCTGTTGCGGAAGCCACTTGAAGATGAGCGGAGGCAGCCGTCCTTACTCAAATTTAAAAAAAAAAAAATATTACTTTTAAAAATTTTACACTTATAATACCCCACTGAAATAATATATGTCTTCACTAAAATAAATATATTTTTTTATATGCCTCCACTAAGATAATTTGTTAAAAAAAATTTAGTGTATACCTCACTGAAGTGAAAAGCTGGCTCCGCCACTGCTTATGGTAGAAGGCCAATGGAATTCTTAACAGTCAATGGACCATATATTATTATGTGTTACGTTGCTAACTTGTTGTATGTACTTTTGTTATGTTAGCTTCATTCTACAATAATAATAATGTTTTACATTACTCCATAGAATCATATATATATATATATATATGATAAATTTGGTTGAACTCCTAAAGAAAATTTAAGTAATTTGTGCGCGCACATGATCTAAATTAAACCAAACAGTAAGTTTATACGTACAAGCTAGTTATATATAGTGGAACTTTTAAGCGGGAGTAGTACATATTTATGGTGTTGCTCTTACAATTAAGGCCCTTAAATACTAATGCAGTCTCTTTTTGTTATTTTTTTTTTATTTCTTTCTCTGATAATAATTTCCAACCAATAGTCCTTTCCTAATACACAAAGTCCTATATATGCACCAGCTTGTCATTCAAATTTTTCAATTTGTTCCTAAAAAGTTATAAAATTTTACTCGGACAATTGTAGGAAAAAAAATCGTACTCCTTAATAAATATCTTTGTTTGAAGGACAATGAGGAGAACGAGAAATTGCAAATAAATAGCATATATATGGGGAAAAAATCCAAATCCCATTGTGAAGACAAATATATATTATACCTTCCATTTTGGATAGATGTTTCTTGAGTTTACCGGCGCATCCTTGGCAATGAAGAGAGACCCGCATAACAACCACCTATAATCATAAAGGCAATTTCAAAAAAAAAAAAAAAAAAAGCTATAAGTTTTTAACCACAAATGATGCATCTGATAAATTATCACCAAAATGTTTTTTTTTTTTTTTTTTGCTTTAAATAAATCCATGACTCAATCCACCGGACATTATCAACTCTACACACGAAAAGTTGGCTTAAATTGATCAGGAAAGACTTTTCTTGCATGAAAGCTACTAGAGATTAGTTTTAAATTTGCATGCTATATATATATATATATATATATATTGTCCACTACTTGACAAGCTAGTTTTTTTCCCCTTATCAGATGTCATAAAAAATGAGATAAAGTGAGAAGAAAACTACAAATAAAAAATAAAAGTGAGTAAATAAATATTCAAAATGTTAAAAGAAGCAAGTGGCATTAACAATGGCTCCACATTTCTATTGGGTAGCTTTTTGTGACCTCACAAGTAGTGTACTAATTTGTGTTGACATGTACTCATCAATTTGTGGTATAATATTCATTAAAAAAAATAAACAAAATTGTGCCATCAATTATCGTGATATTAATTCATTTAGAACAAAACATAGGGCATGTTCTTTTGTCTAAAAAACTCAAAAAAAGATAACTCGAGTTTCAACTTTATTCAAGTTCTCGTTCTTTTAAGTTTCAACTTTATTCAAGTTACAACTTCAACTCAAGTTATAATTCAAATTCAAATCAAAAACTACACTCAAGTTATAATTAGCATATGCTTTATATGCTTTCTTTTCTACCAAATAAATGCGGACAATCTAAACTCCGATACTAGAATTCAATGTAGTTAATTATGTATTCCAAAAAAAAAAAAAAAAATTTAATGTAGTTATATTTAAACAAACCCGAAATAGAAATTAGCTAACATTATTAAGTAGGATATGCCAACTAAAAACTAACTCTCATGGTCGAAATTTATTTCTCTTCATGAGCAAACAATCAGATCGCACTGGTTTTAATATTGTTTAAATCTTGTATACGAAATTTTATAAAATTAATATTTTGTCTCTCTTCTAGCTCCGCCCTTTGATATGATATCATATTTTCAGCGCTTTAAAAATTGAAAAGAACAGGAAAAAAAAAAAAAAAAAAAAGAGGACCCTTTTAAAATAATAAAATCTGACCTGGAATACATGGTGAGGCACTGAATCAAGTATTGCTGATGGTTTCTGGAGAGGCCCAACTTGTTGGTGGCTAACATTATTATTATTCCTCAAAGCAAGTTCTCTTTTGATGGAAGGCAAAAAGAGTGATGATGATTTCTTATAATCACCCAAAGTACTGTTATTAGTACTAATATTCAACTTGGTACGCAATTGATCCTGACGATGATGATGATGATGATGATCAACAAGCCTCGAGTACTTGGCATTATTGTTGAGTACTCTAGGGTTATCAAAAGTACTAGCAAGACTGGTAGTTGTGGCGGTTATGTTTCTCTCTCTGAGGGATCTTCTTCCGGGGACAATTACCGAGCGCGAATCCGGCGTCATGCAAACGGCGGTCGACGCCTGAGAGTGGCACGTAAATGCCCCCATCTTCTTCTTGGTTAAGCTCTTCATTTTTCAGAGAGGGTAAATTGAAAGAGAGATCTAACCTAATATGGCAAAAGTGAAAAATACATATGTGATATAACTAGGAAAAGGGTATATATTTCGAGATTAATTATATATTGAAATGTGAAAACTTGAGCGTAAAAAATAAAAAATAAAAATGATGGTCCTAGATAGATAGTGCGTGAAGAGAGGATAGAATGAGATCATGCAGACTTTATGACGCAGCTAAGAGAGATTGGCTGGCAAATGGCAATGTGGTTTTTGTTCCGTGCAGTTTTGAATGCCTTCACCGGCCTCCTGTCTTTTTCTCTACTTAATGTTCAGAGAACTAACTCTTGTAGTGTGTATATGACTCCACAAATTTCATTCAACGAGTTTTCTGTGGTTACGTTTTCATTAATCAGTAGTTACTATTAAGTATAGAAATTTAATGATCTATAATTTGAGCCAAATGCAGATTTTATTTTTGCTCTTTTATTATATTTTGGAGAATTTTGCAATGCGACTGCTTTTTAAATTGCCATAAATGCATATTTTTTTATATTATTTAGAGAATAATTTCCTAATCTCTGAGAATAAATTTTCATATTTATCATAATTCGTCCACTAATAATTTTCTCTAGTTAATGTTCAGAGAACTAACTTGGTAGTGTATGGGTGTGGTTTTAAGAGTTACTTTAATATTTACCCATCAATGGGTTTTATTAGTTTAGCCGTAAGATATTAATTCGACGGTTATAATAAATTATATAGTTAATTTAAAATTTTATAACAATTAATAAAATTGGATTCTTATCATGTCACGTTATCATATTTCTATATTTGGTAGTAAACCACTAATGGAAACATAACCGTTGAAAACTCGTTCGGTATTATATATGTATATGACTCCACAAATATATATATCTTGAAATGCATATTTATCTTTGCTTGTATACTATATTTTGGAGAATTTTGCAATAGTGGTTAGTTAAAACTAAGAGTGAAAATTATTTAGAAAATAATTACCTAATCTCCACGAATAATTTGTCTTAATTAACATTCCTGATCATCCTTTAGAAAACCCATAATTACATTTTACCTTACATTTAAAATATAACATTGCTGCGACGTGATCGTTTTTCTCTCATTTGAATCTATGGGGATTACTAAAGATAGTAGTCATCGCTTTAAAATCTTTTTTATGCATTAATAATATACGTAATTATAATGGGAAAAATGTAGTCTTATCTTAACACAAATGTTATATTGATTATTATCTGTGTCAACAACAACATATATTATTAAATTCTTTCCCGAAAACAAAAAACATATAATAATTAATAAAAGCTTACCCTATGTGTACACATAACATGTAGAGGATAGAAAAACCTTTTAATTGATGTCTAATTTTTAGTGTCGTAATTAGTGTCTAACCAGTTTAATCATATCATACCACATCATTTTATAATAAGTACAAAAGTGTTAGTTAAAAAATAATCTAAATTATTTTTACATGACGTACCGTGATTTAATTAGTTAAACAGTAATTAAGACACCAAAATTAGACAATAGATTTAAATCCTTAATTGATATTGTGTTTCATGATCAGCAATATAAATAGCCTCATATCAGGATTCACTAGCTTATTTTCTCATTATATTCCAATTTTGCTAGTAGGTTCACATCTTAAATATGTGTGACCTGGTGTTATTCATATTAGTTAGGTTTAATATTCTAGAGAAATCCAAAAGAATAACTAAATGCTTTTATATATATATAGACACCACCACATATATGTCGTACAGTCAACAAATGAGTGTGTTTGGAGCAAAAATTCGTGTCATAATTCGTAGTTCGTTACAATTGTACGCTTTGATTTGTACATTTATAATTTTACTATGTTAGATTGGTGCTAAAGCATGCACCAACTGTACTTTTATATCAGTATTGCTATTCCCTTCCTCATTTATTAGTCAACAGACATCTTTCAAAATGAAAAAAAAAAAAAAAAATTCCCCTTTTGATTTTTGCCTATATTTTATTATATTTGAAAACTTTCTATATGAGATAATATTCCGTTATCTTTTCCCTTTTCACGTAGTTTGCAAAGCCTAGAAAAACCATGAATCATTTCATCAATATGTATATTAAAATGAAATAAGGTTAATTGCATGCTTATTAGACGAACATGGGAAGAAAAGGATGGTCAAAATATGGAAGGCATAAAAAGAAAGCAATACAGTTATAAAGTGCAGACCACGCAGTGCAATAAATGAATTTACGAAGGGTCAGTTTCTAATTAGCACAAAGCTGCTACAACTAACATTTTATTACCTTCGGTCGTGCTTGTCTATTTTACAACTGTTTTTCGGACCCACTTTTTCCAGTCTTTCTGCGGATTTCTTTCTGAATTCTGAGAATCTGGCAAGTAACAAGAAATAGGAATTCTCTATCCTCTCATAATTGGTCTGCCATGTTCGTTGGAAAACATTAATGGTGTTTAGTTTTATCGTACAAACTTCTTGGAATATGAAAATCCTAGCGTGTCTCTATAATATATAATATAATTATCCAGTTTATAAGTTTATTTAGTTCGTTAATTTGAATTAAAATGTAATTTTATATAAAATTTTTTTATTATAGTAAAAAAGTTAAATGTGATTAGTTTTGAGAGTTTTTTATTATAATAAAACTCGAATTTTAAATTTAAATTGATGAAATGAACGAGACTATAGTTCTTTTTTTCTGGAATTTTTTGGTTTTTTTTTCCTTTAACTTATTCCTGAATTTTTATTTTTGATAATCTACCTTCAACTTTGCTAATCATTGTAATGTGTCTTTTTTTCACATTTGGGATTTAATTTGGGGATTGATTTGGATATTTGAGTAATTTACTTCAGGGTTTTAATTGAGATTTTGAGATGTTTGATTAGATGTGTGCTTTTCCGTCGTCGCGTGAGGCTAGTCCTTGACTTTTTTAGCTATTTGCTAATTTAATAGTGTACGAGAAAATTGTTAAATTTATTTTTAAAATATATGAGTTTAAATTTTTATCATTTATTTTTTATTAATATTATTTTAATTAATATAATTATATAATTAAAAAATATTAATTAAAAATAAATTATAAAAATTAAAATTTATGTACTTTAAAAAGTATTTATCTCATTTTTTCTAAATAGATATTAGTAAAATAGGCCACGTAACAATGATTTTACAAGTTGGGAAAAAATTATTTAAAAATTTGTCGCAAGTTGTGAAAAGCTGAAAAGTTTAGGCGACAAAAGTAGTAAAAGCCCAATTGTTATTCATATTTATTGAAAAAATTAGAGAAATAGTAGAAAATAGGTCAATATAAAAAGCTTAAGGAAGTATAAAGGCTAATTTTTAGTTATAGAAATTAATAGGTCATAATTTTTCAAGTTATGGTTCATAGCTAGATAAGTTATGGATAAAAACCGTGAATTATGGACAATAACTTGTCAAGTTATAGTTCATAACCAGACAAATTATGGACGAAAACAGTAATTTGGCATATTTATTAACTTATGTAAACTATTGGCCTATTAATTTTAATTCATCTCAAGTCTTGACATATTTTCCTCTTTCTCCCAAAAAATTACTGAATTTATTTTTAGATTGTATGAGTTGAATTTTTATCTTTTATTTTTAATTAATATTATTTTGATTAATATAATTATTTGATGATATTAATTAAAAATAAAAGATAAAACCTAAACCCACACACTCTAAAAATTATTTGTTTCTTTTTTCTATATTTGTATTTATATCATCAAAATTACGTCTGGAGATTGTTTTAGCCATTAATCAACTAATTTTTTTTAAAATATATATATTAAATAAAATCAAGGAAACAAAAAGCCAGTGTATCATGAACAAGATCTAGTGTAAGGCGGGACCAGTTTCATAAGTCAAAATCCAATAGTCGTAAAATTTTAGATATTTTTTGACAAGAACTTATTTCATTGAAATTGTTGTTTTCCTAAATTTAATTTTTTTTTGTTATTAATATTTAAGCATTGCCTTAAATATTGATCGTTAAAGGCATTTATGTCACTTTTGATAATTTGACCAGTTAAAGGTAATATTTTACTTCTTTTCATGGACAATTTTAGGATAATCTAAAAACATGAGAAATACTTTTTTATCAGCAGCAAATTCTTGCTGAGCTTGAACTTGGAATGATCCAAAACCATGAGAAATACATGGGTTTGCCTTCTTTTGTGGGCAAAATAAGAACACATTTAGAGCGATAAAAGATCGTGTGTGGGCAAACCTTCAATTGTGAAAAAGATTATGACCTCGTTCATTTCACCGATTTGAGTTTAGAATTTGAGTTTTACTATAGTAAAAAATTCTTAAAAAATTCACATTTAATTTTTTACTACAGTAAAAAAACTTTTAAATAAAGTCACATCTCAACTCGAATTAACGAACTAAATGAGCCGTATTATTTTCTTTTAGGAGAGAAGGACACCCTTATCAAAGTTGTGGCTCAATAGATTCCTCCTTACACGGGCCCTTAGAGAGTTAACGAAACTCACGAATAATATATAATTATTCACCTAGCTCTCTTACTATAGATATTCACAGTGAAGAGTTACATCTCATGAAAAGCTATGTCGGTGGACAAAGCTCTTTCTTTTTATATGTTAGCTTCTCATAAATATATTTCTATATTTATAAAGTGCAACTTTGATTCCTGATCGTGACACAAATAAAAGTTAATAATTATATTTAATTGATTAAGAGTAAATCGAATTAAATATTAAATATTAGAGTTTTGTATATATATGTCCACTTGGTCTTCATGCTAGTTTCATTATCCATGGTTAGGTTAATGAATATTTTTAGCACAATATTTATTTTGTCAGAGAAAATTAATACTACACAATAATTATTTGTTCATATGGGTTGTTAAATTAATAATGTAATTACATATTTTTAATTACTGTGAATAGTTAAATATATTTAAAATATCAGTTTTGTTTAATGGCAACGCAAGTATTGGAAATTGATTAGAGAAATACACAATTGCACAATTTGAATGCCGCGTTCATTTCACCGATTTGAGTTTTCAGTTTTAAGTTTTTACAGTAAAAAATTCTTAAAAAATGTCACATTAAACTTTTTCTGTTACAGTAAAAAACTCTCAAAAAATATCACATCTCAACTCGAATTGAAAACTCAAATCCGCGAAATGAACTAGGCCGAAGTCTACACTATACAGGTGTAGGGACTAGGGGAGGTGATTTTACCCTCTGCCCAATCTAGACGTACTGCTATAAATAGACTTCTTGTGGTGTCTGCAAATATTGTCATTTTTTACCTTTTATCAAGGTTTTCTATTCTCCTTCCTTTAGAGAAAAGGAAACCATACAATTAAAAGTTGGAAGAGAAAACTGATAGCTACCAAGAATTAATTGGTGCCAACACACCAATTAATCTTAAGGAGTTGAGAGTAGCGTGGAAGATTAAATGTTGATAAGTTTTTGTGTGACTGACACGATACGAGAGTTGTTCATTGTGCAAAAGAACGAAAGATTCAGTAAATTGAATGATGTAAATAGGTGATTAATCTATACTTACGACTAATTATTTTATGCAATTAATATGTAAGATTTTGTCTTGGTTGTTAAAATTTTTAAAATCCAATTCCGCTATGATCTCCATGACCATAAGTGATGAGCACATGTAGCACTAAAAGCTAAAAATACGCAAGAGACGGAAAGACGCTATACAGTGCTAGGGTCTCTCTTTGTTTATGGTTTGTGGAGCTCTTGGCCAGTGATGGTATCAAAGCCAAAACGGTGGCTCGGCGACTTCACAGGACCCACCTTTTTTTAGATTATTAGACGCACAAGGTAACAGCTTGAAAGATAATGAAAATAAGCTTAAGACGCTTCTGATTTTTCTCTTACTAAAAAATACATCATATTCATTGATTGGACCCTTGTCGTGCTTTTAACGCTTTTGTGTCCGTGCTCATGCCGACCCGTTTTGACATCTCTAATCTAAACTTCACTTGTATGGACAAATTGAGCTTGGAATAGAAACTACTGAAAAAGTTTCACTTCCAATATGATACACCTTGCAAGTTCAATGTCGTGATATTTATTTTGAGAAAGCAAGACTGTAAATCAGCAATAAAATAGAAGAATTTAGTGTTTGTGTGTGTGTATACATTACATGTATATATATATATATAAATACAGGAAATCTATCGATAACAATTAGGGAAATTTCCGCTTACTATTACTGAAAACAACTGGAAAAAGTATCTGTCCACAAGGCCTTAACTTGGACTATAGCAAATGGCGTTAAGATCAAGAAAAATGCTATATTTATTAGACCGTCTTCTCATGAGATACATAAAAATGACATCTTATGGGTGCTTTCTGTGGCCTTTCCTGCCCTGTTTGGTAGCACCCTTAATTGATTTCTTAACGTCAGCTAAACCCTATAGAATTGCAACAGCACCAACCCCAATGTGTGATACAAACTGGACACTGAACAGAATTAAATAAAAACTAAAAGAGAAAAAGAAAGAGAAACATATGCACAAAATGTCATATTACAAAAAGTTTGAAATGATCTCCTTGGTTTTTCTTACGTGTATACCGGTACAGAATTACCAAATGAAGGGGATCATCTGGGACCAGACAATTCGTCTGGAGAGATATGTGAAGTAGAGTCAACAATCCAATGAGTATTCGGATGACGGGTGTGGTTTAAGTCTTGACGGAACATCTCTTCTTTCTGCCATTCTTCCCATCTTTCCGCCAAGCCATCGCCTTCGAGCATTCTGACCACTTCGGACATCTTTGGTCGTTCAGATGCAGTGCTTTGTGTACACAGAAGAGCCACCTGGATCAGCTGCTCCACCTCATCATCGACGTAATTTCCCTGTAGATCAGAATCAACTAGTGTTTCCAACCTCCGATCTTTCAAGAGCCCTTTCACCTAAAATCTCAGGATTTAAGAAAGTTAGGACAAAGTTCAATAGCATATATAGACAAATGATTCTCTGCTAATAGGTTTGCTGTCATAAGAGAAGTTAATGGCAACTGGGAAAACACGCGTGATAGACGGGATGTTCGATATAGAAGAACTACAGGTTGGTGATTAAGTAATTAAAAATCAACGTTTAAATAAGTAACATTCATTTACATCTTGAATGTGCGAGTTCATCTGGGCCTAAAGGTAACATGGGAAAATTTGGTCGCAGCAATGCTTTGGTCTAAAATAGGCATTGGTTCCCCAAGCTGATTAGTTCAATTGATAACCCACAAATAACTTGATCTATCTATGCATATCCACAGTAATCAAAATATATTCTAATACAAAGAACAGTGTATAATCTTATGAAAACTGTAGGGTGCATAAATGATGGAAATTTTTTGGATCATATTTCAAGTTCCCTCTGAAAGACAAACTCATTTGTCTTCGCTGTTCGTCATCTCCACTGCCATTTGTAATAAAGGTTCCAACCTAATTTGGAGAGACGTGAATGTTCATGTTACAATTCAATATTTCCAGGATAGCTTATATCTTATAGGGTGATGTAATATGAAGATGGTTCAACTGGCAATCCAAAACTAAACATTCAAATGAATATGACAACCAAAATTAATAATGGTCAATGTAAATGGAATATGAGAGCAGCCAATGAATCAAGTGCAGAGTCACAGGACAAAGATGAAAACAATTTGACCAAATCATCTGAGAAATCTTCAGCGAGTAGGTTTCTAATATAAATATCACAAAAAAAGGCAACGGATCATATGCACTCATGTGAGATTAAGCGGGACTGCATATAATCAGATCCAATAAAAACGAACATACTTATCATCATCGTAAAAATATATATACATACATACACACACATATATATCCGACATTTTGTTCATAAAATGAGCTAAAAGGACAATTTTTTATTGAATTTTCATAGTAAATATATATGGACTTTCCTAATGTTGGCTGCATAATATTTTAGTTTAAAATCCGTTTTAGTGGTTTAGGTTGCTCCCATTTCACTCGCCACCATTAACAGAAAATTAATAATAAAGGTTTTCTTTGCGAGCATGCCTTAAGCTTGAAGGTGGTATATGCCACTTTAAAACTGCAATAAATTTATTTGTAAATCTTTGAAGTTTTTCTTTTTTGGTATTTCACTCTTATTTGTCAACTAAGCCCCAATTACTTTTTCTTAAAAGACTGATTGAGACATGGGTTTTCTTTGTTATCTTAATTTTATTTAGTTACACCGGCTTCAAGATTCCAAAATTGGAATCAATTCCGTTACAGTTAATGAGATGCCAGTGAAACTTACGCAAAAGAAAAAAAAACAAAAACAAAAAAACAAAACAAAAAACCAAAAACAAAAACATAAAAAAAAAAAAACAAAACAAAACAAAATGTCACACGGCAGCAATTATCAATTGTGCGCATCTTTTGAGACGATTATATGAAACAAACCAGATATACGGATGAACGAGAGGCATATTCCCTTCATTTGTAGTTTAAAGATATTTAACAGGCTGCAAACATACAAGGGGGAAGATGAATACATACCCAATCAAGTAACATGACATCGTCGTCATTTGCAAGCCGAGCAAGATCAAACGCCCTCTGTCCAGTTATGAGTTCAAGGAGCATAACCCCATATCCAAAAACATCAGTTTTCTCCGAAGACTTTCCAGTTGACAGGTATTCCGGTGCAATATGCCCAATCGTGCCTCGTACAGCAGTGGTAACGTGAGTATCTTTATAGTCCATGAGTTTAGCCAACCCAAAGTCTCCAACAACTGCCTCAAATTCCTCATCTAACAATATGTTTGCAGCTTTTACATCACGGTGAATAATCTTAGGATCACAATGATCATGCAAATAAGCAAGGCCCCTCGCAGATCCCAGTGAGATGCGCTTTCGGATTTGCCAATCAAGTGGCGGCCGCGATTCAGGACGATCTGTAGTCATGCATAAGTAAAACCATAAGAGACAATTAGCTTAATTTAAAAATGATAAGCATCAAAGTATTCATTGTGCAAGACATGTTAGCTCTTTCTTTTTGAGCATACAAACAAAGCAGTTCTTCAAATTTTTTAGTGTTTACAACTCATGAAGCAAGCCCACTCACACAAAAACACATGAAATTGAATACCTAGGACCCCTCAAATTAAGCATCACCACACTGTGTTGGATATCCTACCCAAAATTAGTAAGCAAATCACGGGAGGCATGAATGATGAAACTAAAACAACTTTCAAGAAAGCAACTTAAAGCATTTCTTATTAAATTTTAAACAAAAAGTAGAAAACATAAAGTGAAGAAGGTTACCTCTTAAACATGATGCTACACTTCCATTAGCCATATAAGGGTAGACAAGCACCCGTTCAGTTGGTGTCATGCAAAAACCACGTAGACGAAGTAGGTTACGGTGCACAGCCATGCTGATCATTTCTACTTCTGTCTGGAATTGAAGCTCTCCGCCCTGGGTACGCTCCTCTTTAAGTCTCTTTACTGCCACCAAAGAACCATCAGCTAAACGGCCTCTATAAACCTTACCAAATCCACCCCGGCCTAAAATATTTTTATTGGCAAAATTATCCGTTGCAACTTGCAGCTCTCGCAGAGAAAACCGTTTGAGCTGTCCCAAATGAACTTCTGGATCCTCCTCAGCTGTAAAGAATATAGGCAAGTGAGGCATGCATCCCCTACAGAAAACTAGGGCAAATTGAAAATAAAATAAAAAATCACCAACCAGGTACATCAAAGAAATGGTCCTGTGGTTTCTTTCGACGCCACATGGCAAGAGCAATTGCAGGAATAGCGAAAAAAAGAGCAGCAGCAGCAGCAACTCCTCCAGCAATAGCTCCAGTGGTAGTGCCAGCTGAAATATTCAACAGTTTAACTACTGAAAAACTAAACCACTCAAGAGGGAAGCCATATTTTAAAGGTCAAGAAACACACAGTTCCAAGTGCTTATGCCTTTCAAATATCACTGAAGTCCAATTATCCAGCTACATCACATTCTCACTCCTCCCTACTATCTGGATCTAGTAGGCAGAAGAGAGGATAGAAACAAAAATTTAACTTACCTTTTCTGGAAGAATGGCCTGCACTAGTTACGGTAGATTCATTGTATGACTTTACAATTTATACCCATCTCAAGCTTTCATATGACAACTATTAATTGGCAAGGCAATTGCGAGACTTTGACAAGCCATTTGGCTCAACTACTGCCTTTAGATTTCCATCATTGAACTCATGTTTTTATATGTAAGTTTTAAATATATATATATATATATCCTACTGATAGGGCTAATAAATTTCACCCAAAAAAAAAAAGGAGAGAATAAAGAGATGCTTGATCAGCAACACATTGAATTATTTCTGCTTCACAGAAAAGTTATGAAAGTAGAGAAGGCATTAGAGTTCGAGCAGTCTAAATCAAATATATCTGTCAGATGATTGAAACAATCAACCAATATGTGCAGGGAAGATTTCCATTAGAATACCTCCGTGAAAATTAAAAAAGGAAAAACAAACGAGGCAATATAATATAATTACAAGATAACAGCAAATAACTACAAGATAATAAATAATCACCTGAGGGAGATGGCGTTGAAGGAATAGGAGGAGGCGGTGAAGGTGGGGGATTGTTCAGTTTATTATTGGAAAAACTGCAAAATGGAGAAAATTAGAAGTAAGAATGATATCTTGATTATTTCATAGGCCAAAAAGACCATAACTACAGAAAGTTAATTCAAAAGAAATTCCTCCAATGAACCTGATGGGAGTAAACATTGTAAAAGAACCATTGATTGGAATATCTCCTGTCAGTACGTTGTTTGAAAGATCCCTGCATTCCATAATTAACATGAAATTGTCAAATTCTTGCATTACATGACCATAGGGAATTAATAAACTATGTTCTTACTGAGAGGAAATTAGAACGCATTAACACTCACAAGACTTGCAGTGATGTAACATTAGTTAAAGTCATTGGAATAGTCCCTGACAAACTGTTGTTGTTGAGACGCCTGTTCATAAGAGCAGAAAATATCATTTTCCACAAAAAAAAAAAAAAAAAAAAAAAAGCAACTGTCATTCTTAATCATGCTAACGATGATAAAAGCTAAGTATACCATGAAATCATTAATCACATTATGTTTAGCCTCTATTATTTTTACTCATACATAAAAAGCTAATTTGAATTTTTATCAATAATATATACAAGGAATCAATAAAATAAATTGTTAATAACATTTACGTAATCTTAGAGAGTTTGATGGCTTATATTGGAATCTTGTAGATTGTAAAGAATAAAGGATGCGAGAATAAAGACCCAAAGAGTCAGCATTGTGCACTTCACAATTTTTAGTTCGAAGGACGGAGTCTTATTTATAGAGAACTTGAATGTGATCTTGTGGGAGAGAATAGTTGGTAAATTGCTACTTGATGGTTGAAATACAAGCTTTTCCAATTCACATTCACTCTTTTGGCTTAGCAAACAAGACAAGCTATGTACTGAATAGTTTGAAATAGCAAAATAGACAGAAGTTTGTAACTTTTTTTTTTCTTTTGTCTCTAAGGACATGGCATGCGTAACATATACAGTCGAATCATCTTGCTCAAGAGCTTAAATCACATATTAGCTATTATTTCGTTTCCCCATTACCTTTTAAAACCTTTCTCATTTAGATTAACTAAAGAACCACCTAGATGTGATTTGCATGATAAGTACTCAATGAGTCCCAGAAATTTTCCACTTAAATGCCGTATTGCAAAGTAAACATTCAATCAAATTCAAATAGCTCTGATTGATTTAGTTAAAGGCGTCTTCAGGAAGTATTTGTGTTCCAAGGAATTTGCAGAATAGTACTATGTCATTACCAAATTAAACAAAAATAATTGTGCAAAAGCCTAAAACCACTATCTAAATCCAAAAGCATATATCATCCAAATATCTTTCAGTAGAAAAGTAATAAGGATTTTTTTTTTTTTGGAAGACAATAAAGCTGCCAGTTTTCAAGTGGATAAATTGCATACATACATCACGAAACATATGGCTATAATTGCAAGGCCAAGAAAGAACGATTTAAACAGAGTCCTACTAGAAGATGCAGGTGAAGGATGCGTGATCATACAGGAAACGTAGTTTTCCAAGGTTGCCCAATGTGGTTGGAATGGGACCACTTAAATTGTTCGTGTAAAGATCCAAGCTCACCAAGTTTGCCAAATTCCCAAGCTCTTCCGGGATTTTTCCACTTATGTTATTGCTATAAAGTTCCCTGTAAAGAAGATTTGATTTTGAACAACTAAATGTTAAGAAATGGAGACAGGAGAATGCAGGCACACAAACGTACAAACAATTGAAAGCTAACAGTGTCCGGTGCATCCTTTCCATAAACATACATAGCTGACTCAATTTGGCAGTCTAGTAAAATACAAACTTTATGAATTAATGCAGAACATTAATGAGAATATTTACACAGAAATTATATTTTTTTTATCTCAGGAAATAGTAGAAGGCTCTCAAAATCCTATAGCTACTTGAACTGTACTCTTCAATCTAGATAAATAAATGGCAAAAGGTCAACCTAAATGTTTCTTGTGCAGGTAAGTCCATATGTGCCCTCGAGGGTTAATCTAAATGTGAACTAATGGAACAGATGAGAACTGGTTTAACAAGCTCTCGTCTCAAATTTCTTTTTTTTTTTTTTTATAAGAAACAAAGAAACTTCATTGAATCAAAGAAGGTTACAAGAAGTTTCAAGATTGACGAGATGTCCATCCAAGCACAGAACGGAAAACCAAAAGCAACCTAAAACTCATAGTCAACAGTACAAATGGCTAAATCCTCGACTAACATCTCCTTATCCTCAAAAATCCGTTGGAACTTTTTACCAACAAATGCGGGTAAATTATGATGGGCAAACACGTGTTTCATGTGAACAGACAATAAGGTGTCGGTCCACAACAAAAGGGGGAAAAAGAAAATTTTAAACCAAATTCAACTAAGGTGAAATATGAAATGCGACTTACAAGTACTGTAGATTTGGTAGCTGGCCTAGTTGGGAAACCAGTGTACCAGTTAGATTTGCATTGCCAAGATCACTGGATAAATGCAAATAGAAGTGAATGATCGCCATCTTAGTACAAAGCTAAGCTAATTTCTTGTAAACAAAAGATAGCAATGCCAACTTCAAGACAAACTTACACTCGAGTAACACTGTTTTCACTATTGCAGGAAACATGAAACCACGTGCAGGGATTGACAAGCGTGGCATCCCAACTCTGAAGAACATTGTTGGGGTCAGCTAAGTTGGACTTCAACGCATTCAAGGCGTCGCCTGTCTTACACAAATCAAATCAAATAATCAGCTTCAAACACTGTTCTTTTTTTCTTTTTGCTAGAATCAAACTTCATTGAACAGATTCACAAATGACATAGAAACAAATTGCAGCGCCTTCCTGCACTAAAAAAAGAGAGAGTGAGAGAACCGCATGAACCCCACTCTAAAAAGACGCCTAGAATTGTCGTTATTCCACAATTCTCCCAAAAGCTTAAGCTGATAGGAGGTATACCAGAATCCCATAATGCAAGTGAGATCCAAATTCAAAATAAGTCTCAATACTTTGGAACAAAACTATAAACAAACTACCCCAACTTGGAATGGTTGCAAGAGATCGTCATTAGTTTAATGATTCTCCAGAAAACTTAAGTTGATAGTAGGCTTAGCAACATCCCATAATGCAAACTTAAACTACTTCTCTTAAAGGCTTAAGATGGTAGAAATACACCAACTTCCCATAAAACAAATGAGATGCAAATTCAAACTAAAGGCTCAACACGACAAGATAAAACAAACACAATAGTCACACAGGATTATCATTAATCCACCAATTTTCCTAAAAGCTCAAACCGACAGTCTTTCAACTTTCACCGTCCCAAAACGCCAACGGTATGCAAATTTAAACTAAGTCCTGCATATGAATTCAAACTCACAGCTCAAAAACACCTTACTTTTAGCTCAAGATTCCCAATTCTCCTAAAACCTTAAGCTGATAAGAAAAGTTTAAAAAAAAAAAAAAAAAGAATTCTACAGCTGTCCACGTGTTATGTTTGTCTTGGCTATAGTCATAAGTTCGTTAGGAATCTGTTGCAACTCAGAGCTTATAAGTTGTGCAGTTCTCTAGAAACGAAAATACGAAGAATTTTTCAGAAACATTTTCTCTCTGTTTTCCTTTCACTTTTATACCTAGAATCTTATCAAGAGAGAAAGTCATCATTACTCTTTATATGTACTACAAAACTTAATCAATCAAAAAAAGAATAACTGAATTAATCAAACCTTTTGATTTTCAGACAAACCTAAAACAGCTTCACTTGGAAAATTGAGTTCGTCAGCACAAAAAGCAATTTTCACCAAAACAGTAACAAACAAGCTCAAAGAAAAGCGATTAAACAACACACACACACACATATGTGCATACATATATATACATATATATATATATAAATATATATATATATATGTGTGTGTGTGTGTGTATAACCAGGATTAGAAACGAACGGACCTTCGGAATTCGCAGAGACATTTCGTAGGAAGCCAAATACGAGAATCAAGCACAAAAAGGAAAAAGGCGAGATCACCGAGATCAGCCGCTCCGCCATTTCCATTCCTCGCTGGAATTCCAGAAAGCATCTTCATCAACAACAAAACCCTCCCGTTGACCAATCAATTCCGACCATCCTCGGCTACGTTGACCGAAATTCGAGCTCCGAAAAGACGAGAACAAACAAACAAACAAACTTTTCTTCTCTCAGTTTTTTCGATTCTTCGCTTGTTGTTGTGTTTCAGAAACGGAAATTGGAGAATGAAAACGGAGAGCTTTTCTTTGAAATTCCTTTGTTGCAAAGAAGCAAATGAAGTCGTTGTTTGCTGTGAGTTGTCTGGGATTTTTTAGTCAAAGTTTCAGCCCCTCCTAGTAAGAATTTTATTAAAGCATTTTTTCCTTTCAAATTAAATTAATTAAAGTCTTGAAAAACAAAAACAAAAATGTTTTCTTTTTTTCCGCCAGCCAAATTGAAGGGGTCAAAAGTAAAAATAAAAATAAAAATAAAAATAAAAAGACGAAAAGTCCTGGTCAAAGACGCACGCTCGCACGTGCTTAAGCGCGCGGCACGTGTGAGATGTTAAGGGTTTTTCAAAGAAACTGGTAGTGGCAGAGCTTATCTTCTTCCTGTTAATTTATTCTTGCTCATGTAGAAAAAAACGAAAAAAAAAAAAAAAAAAAAAAAAAAAAATTTGGGGGTGAAATAGTAAGAACACTATATTCCGATTGAATTATGGCTCTTAATTCAGATTTAATGTTAGGTATATACAAGAGCAAAAAACATATAAGAGTATATTTCAATTAAAATAAACAATCTAGATCTAACGGATATAGTTAATGTGAGAGGTGGAACAATTATACAATTCAATGAGATTGTGATTGATTGTCAACCCACTAGTGACGTACTTGACTTGAGCTTATTTGGGAAGATTATCCTTTGGAAAAATGCTTGGGGTACGACTTAGTATTACTCACGCGAACATGTTTAGAGATTTCATACTGTCACTTTTTATTAATGTGTGGTGTTTAGCATCACTAGTAATCAATAATATTACTTTACAGTAAGAGACTTGTCTTGTTTTTCAATGTGTTGACCAAAAATATGATACAACTCTTATATACATAGCACATATACGTCTTGTATACATGTCACGTAATGTTACAATGGCTTAATTTAATAGTGCTATAGATTTTAAAAAAATTACTTTTAACTATATTGAACGAAAAAATAGCTATTACAAAAAGCAATTAAGTGTTTGATAAACTATAATTATAATAGCTGTATTGGTTCTAAAATTTGTGTAATAACGTTTGATAAATTATGAGGTTGAATTATTGTGAATAGTTAAAAATTACGACTATATTATATTATATTATAATATAATCTATATTTATTATTATATTTAATATAATAAAAAAATATTATATAATTATGATATAATAATATAATAATATTATTAAAATAATAACTGAAATAATTAAAAATAACGAGTATATTATATTATACTATAATATAAAATATATAATTACAATATAATGTAAAATTATTATTATATTTAATATAATACAATAAAACTATTATTAAATAACAT